TGGATTGGGCGGCCATGTCTGGAGACATGATCCCAATTGAGCATCTAGGGGATGAACTCCCTCGATGTCTCGGACGTCTGTTCCTTTTCATGCTATGCAGACTGGAACTCTCATTAGAGCACAAAGAGGACACACTCGATACTGAGGACACTTGATCCTGCTTCCATCAGAGTTCTCCTGACGTCTTTGATGTTTGTTATTTATATAGACATCGTTATTATTCACTGATGAGTTTTTATTGGATGTGTTTTTTTATCATCTGTTAGTAAACACAACAAAAAAACTAAACTGCATTATTTATGGCTTTCAGTATTTGGAATATAACATAACCTGCATCTTTTAGAACATGCTTAGGAAGAAGGATCAATGTACAGTTATTATGGACAGACTGTATCAGTACCGACCTGACAACTTACTGCTGAATTTTATATTATTTTTTGTATATGGGCAAGGGGCCTACAGTACAGAAATGTGGAACTGAATGGAATTGAACGAGTATTTCTTAGTGTGGCATTAAACAACAAAAGATTAGTTTCATGGACATTTTACGTACACATGCATCTCTATAATTCTGTACAATTCAAAGTACAGAATTACCAAGGTTCAGTTGCTTGTTTAAAAGCTTGCAGCCTTCACGGCTTCTCTGTGTAGCTTAGTTCTATGACAACACCATCTTTCTGTATAAACTAGTATTACAATTTGTACTTACCCGTTAAGATATAGGTCCGAATTGGTCTTCAGAATCCCATGTTTGTTGTAAGATGCGACCAACAGGATTGGGTGGTCAGGCTCGCTGACTTGGATGATATATCTACTCGTATCTCAGTTGTGTAGATCAATGTTCATGCTGTTGATCACTGGGTTGTGTGTTCCAGACTTGATTATTTACAGACCGCGGCCTTATAGCTAGGAATATTGCTGAGTGCTGTGTTAAACAACAAGCAACACTTTTTACTGAAAGTCACATGACTTCAGGGATCATTGGCAGTGTGATGGTATTGACATCTGTAAACATCATCTCGGAAGGAACCGCTGGACCAGTGAAGCTGAAACGTCTCATGCTAGTTCACACCAGTGATGCCACCTGAATGTTTTTAAGATGTTCAAATAATATTTCCAATATGCTGGCTGTGACAGTTTTATTAAAACACTATTTATGACTGTCACTCAACATTAGCTTGTTTTCTTTCCGTTTTTGGGTTTTATATTTTAAATATTGACTTTAATTTGACCTTAAAACCTTGACCTTGCTAATGAATTCTTTAAAAATGTATTCTGGGATCTGAAAACATCACAATCCCTGGATGAATGAAAACACACCTGCTTTTTTACACACTATAGCTACCTTAGCATATATTTTTGACTACCTTAGTTTCAGACAATATTAATCACAGTGTATGTTATCAAAGTAAGTATGCCAGTCAAACAGTTTCAAATACAATAAGCTATGTGATGCTGTTAAATTCACACCTCTGTTTTGATCTTTGTTAATGAGGAAAATGACAGTATGACCCTTTATGGATCACAAATGTTTGTTTTGTTCTGTGCTTGTTCGCCATCGTTTTGATTTAATACTTTCATGCATACTCTTATCTTGTTTTTGTTAATACCATGTTACTTCAATCTTGCTTGACAGGTTTATTAAGGATCGATACCGTAATGTTGCATTAGCCTAAAATAGTAAGTTGGCATCCATAACAGAATCTTGCCATTAGTGTTTTTAATTCTTATAGTTTATGAAAGTACTTGTCTCCATTTGTTTTTAGATATGAACTGGGAGCTATAAATATAAATATATGTCTTTAAGTAACAGTATGTAATGATTATGGAGCTTTTATGGAGCAGTCTACATTCAAAGAAAACTGTTTGTTTAATGTTTAAACTTCATGCACCAGACAGAACATGTAAAGGTGAAATCTATTTATTTCATTTCAATTTCTCTCCTTTACTGTCTTTTATAAAGTCAAAATTACAAAAACGTGCAGTTTTACTCTGAGAAATGGAAAACTTACAGAAAGTAATGTTTGTGGTCTTTCATGTTTTGAAGTTGAAATAGAAGCAAAATGTTTGTAATGTAGATAAGTACATTTTTAAAATTGAGCCAAGGATTGAAATAGGAAAGAAATAGGTTGTTATGTTAGGTTTTTCAAAAGCATGGCTGTGATTAACTGTATATTTAAACTTTCTCAGACTGTAAATGGTGACATATTTTAATTATTTTGATTTGAACAGCTTTGGTATAAATGTCTTTGATAAAGTTTTAATGCATAAGTGCACCATGTCTTCAATTTATTAAGTGCATAGTGCATTCATCTCAACAAGACATCAACCAAAACAGTAATAGGATTGTAGCAAAAATTCCAACCTACTCCCTTTAAATGTAAGTTTGATGTTATTGTTCTTTGATCAAACTTATGTTGTTTGCAAGAAGGAGAAAGAGCCAGCTCAATATCCCAATATGTGACAAGATAATGAAGTTGCTTCTGTAAGCATGTGAAGCTGGAACAGCAACATGATACATCCTACCGACAAATAATTGAACTGAGGAAATGATAGTGGAAATTATAGTAATGACGATCAATGTGTTATAAATGAATTTTGGGTGTGTAGGTCAATATCTGGTGTGTCCATCATATGTAGCTATGCATGTATACATATCAGGAAGATATCAGTTATGAACGAAGACGTATCTTCGTAAAGGACTTTACTGGCACATAGTGTTCTGCAAGGATCTGTCTTAGGTCCAGTTTTGTTCTTTCTGTATGCCTCACCTATTGGAGACCTCACTAGGAACCATGGATTAGGATAGCATCTATAAACAGATGATACTCAAATGTATCTGGCTTTCAGGCCTAACACTGGAAATGCAGTTCAACAAACATTCTCAACAGTAACCAATATTTTGTCCAGCACTGGTTCATGGATGGCCAACAATTACCTCAAACTGCCTTTCTGGTAATAGCCTCAAAACATGCAAGAAACCTTTGAGTCATGTTTGACAAGTATGTGAGCCAAGAGTCAAGAGTCAGTCTTGTCTGAAAACATCTTTTTTAGTTATCAGAAATAACGGCAGCTGCCATGGTTGCATGAACAAGTATGAACACATCACACCTCAGCTCGAGGAACTTAACTGGCTGCCCATGAATCTTAGAATTTATTTGAAGATCCTAACACTGATTGTTAAGGCAAAGCATGGACTGGCTTCATCATGCATGACAAGATTTGCCTTCCTGTTGTTGAGACCCGTGAAGATCCGGGGTAGAATAGGTCTTCAGCAACGCATGCTTGCCACATAGGCGACTATGCTTGTTGTAAGAGGCAACTAACAGGATCGGGTGGTCAGACTCGCTGACTTGGTTGACACATGTCATCGGTTCCCAATTCGCAGATCGATGCTCATGCTGTTGATCACTGGATTGTCTGGTCCAGACTCGATTGTTTACAGACCTCTGCCATATAGCTGGATTATTGCTGAGTGCAGCGTAAAACTAAACTCACTCACTCACTCACTCACTCACTCACTCACTCACTCCTGTTGTTGATAACAAGAGCAGATTTCAATCTATGGCATTACAGGTAATATGTGCTTTTTTCATGAAGCTACTCACAGGTCTCATTGCAACCCAACCTCCTTGATCCCACAGATGAGGCACTGCACCGAGGTGCCAACATTCAGGCAACTGGGGATATTGATGGTCTTGAACGTGCCAATCAACATCAACAGAACTCAAATAGAACCAGACCAAGATAGTGTAGTGCTACAACTGGCAATGCAAGGTTGCTTCCCCTAGCTAAACAGGATATCAGATTTGCCCCAGTTATGATCATTGACTTGTCAGCACCATGCTATTAGCTCCACCAAAGTGGACAGCATCTACACCTGTGTCTTCTTGGGCTTCCCCCAACATGAGGCAGACACACCATGATAAATATATAACACACAGACTGTTACAGCAGTTGTAACCCATCTCACTGCCATTGTAGTCTAAGATGAACCCGTGCAACAACAGCCATGGATTTCTCCACCACCGCTTTTTATTGTACAGTATAGAAATGAATTGTCTGTCTGTTTGACTGTCTCTTTTTCCGTCTGTTGGTCTGTCTCTATCACTTTGTTTGTGTCTGTGCAACTTTCTGTTATTTTATCCATCTGTTCTTCTGGATAGGTGAGGAGCATTTTGTCAGAGTGTTTATCTCAAATGTCAGAAGTCTTTTATTTTGGGTTGTTATGACCGCCATTGTCTTCCGTTCAGTTGAGTCCCAGACATGTCTATACATGATCTGTGAAGGAGCCCAGCAATGTTAGACATAGCTGACACTGTGTATCTGAATGATTGATGGCTAGTTATTGTTCTTGGGTCGATGGGCAAAGGGCATGTTTGTCAGACTGTAGATCATGGCAGCACTTATAGGTTATCCACATGTGTTCAACTTGTGAAATACCTTGAAGGTTGTCATTAAGCACTTTCCTTTGGTATCCAGATGTACAGTATCATGTAACTTGAAAGACATGATCACAGATTACCCATTTTGTAATATATTAAGGTGTTAGAACAGAACATTCCTTATTGGCTAATATAGCAAATGTAAATGTTTATGTGAAATCAAAGTTTCTGGTATTTTTTATATCATACTTTTAGCCCAATCCAGAATGTCCGGCGTCCATTTTAGAGTTTGTTACAGACATGCTTGGGTGTTACAAAGCCAATTCCATGCATCAGGAGGTCGAACCAAGTGACTTTGTTCTTTATATGTTGTCATACTTCTGGCATTGTTCTAATGTTAGTCACTGATCCAAGACCCAGGCAAACTTATTTTGTAGGACTGTAGTCTGGAATTATGTGTTGTGGGTTTGTTTCTTTTAGATCCAATATCTACCTGAATGTAATGATGACAGGGTAGCCCAGTGGTTCAGGTGTTTGCTTGTGAAGTTAACTTGAAAAGGAATTGTAGAGAATAGTCAATGGTCACACATCACCAAATATCTGTTTGCTCTTCAGGAGGAACTTGTGACTGTTGTCTTCAACAGAATGGATCCTGGTATAGAATACCAAGGCTACAGGTACCAGCCCATACAGCCCATTCTTCTCCCAAAGGTAGGCCATGTTTCATTTTTCCTGCATCACCTTGACATCTTTTACATTTCTGCATATTGAACACAGACACAGTGGGCATAGTACACTGTGAATATTTACACATCACAGAGAAGACATAAGAACTGCTTCCATGGTTTCATAGAGACAGTGTCTGCCAGAGAATGAAAGTTTGGCTTGTTCCCCATCTGTGTTGTATGTCCCTGGTGCTCAACAAAAAGGGTATAACACAAGGACTTGTCAGCTTGGACTGAGTAGGGTATACATTTTGAACTGTGCAGGATATCTCAGCAAGCTAGCACTATAAAAATAGGATTAGTCCAGATTAGTACATGCAGCCACTAGGGGTAAAGCGGTATACTATGATATTAGTCGAACCGTGGTATTTTGCCTTTGGTTCAGTATACCGTAATGCAATCCAAACATTTGGTGTTTTCGTACCATCAATTTATTCACCTTTTTAAAATCTTTTCTAAAATGTCTAGAAATCATATCACCTTGTCAAAATCTGTGCATTGCTTTGCTTGACAGCCACTATTTTCTGTGAGTAAGTTCTCATATATCGAACTGAAGTGGACTGAACCGAAGGCCTTGTACCTTGGTTAGAGCATACTGTTTCACCTCTTGCAGCCACACACACATCTACAGATTGCTGTATGAGTCTGTGCTGAACCATCGAGTCAACACCCCTGAATATGGGTCTTAGCATCTTTCCAGTAGATGTTAGTGCCGCCATATGGATAATTCTTAGCTTAGCAAACTATACCAAACATAATGTTTCTACATTTGGCCTTTGACAACCTGGCTTAAGTTACAAACTGCTATATAACTGCAATAAACTTGAATGCAACGTTAAACCCTATTTCATCTTACTTCACCTGAAGACACATTGCAACTATGGAGGTGTCAGTGAACAGTGCCTGTACATTGTGATAGAAGGGCACTGCTCTGCGAGTGAATCGCGGTTTCAGTCACACACAGTATATATCCGAGCTCAACCACACACACTATAATGTTTGGAAGGGTTTGCTACACACCTAATAGTTCACTGTTTGTCATGATGCAAGGAGACAAATTGCATTACAGTGCAAACACTTATACCATTTATGCTTGAAGAGCCTTAATGGCGCGCTGTCAGACAATGATAAGAGATTCCTGGCATGGCTTTCATGCTCTGCAAGCTATTTTGTTTAGAAGACAAAGCACAAGTGACAGATTGACAATGATTGTAGCCATCTTGTAATAAGCATAATGCCAGTGTCTATATTATGGGTGTTCAGAATTTTGTAAATACCAGAAGAATTTAGAACTTGCTTGGACTGGTGAAGAAGTTGGAAGAATATGCTCTGGAAGAATGCACTTTATCATGAAGGTAAGTTATTTTTGTTTTGCAAGTAAAACTGTTGACATGTTGATATATACTACTTAAGATGACTCCATCTCTAAGAAATGCTACAACATGATTAGGTTTTAGGATATGATATGATGAGTTTACAGGATATGATTAGGTTATTGGATATTATTAGGTTATAGGATATGACGAGTTTATAGGACATGATGAGGTTACAGGATTAATGTGGTTAGAGGATATGACGAGGTTACAGGATTAATGTGGTTAGAGGATATGATGAGGTTAGAGGATATGATGAGGTTACAGGATGAATATGGTTAGAGGATATGATAAGATTATAGGATATGATGAGGGTATAGGATATGATGAGGTTACAGGATTAATGTGGTTAGAGGATATGATGAGATTACAGGATTGATGAGGTTATAGGATATGATGAGATTACAGGATTGATGAGGTTAGAGGATATGATGAGGTTATAGGATATGATAAGGTTACAGGATTAATGTGGTTAGAGGATAGGATGAGGTTACAGGGTTGATGAGGTTAGAGGATATGATGAGATTATAGGATATGATGGGGTGAGAGGATATGATGAGGTTACAGGATTGATGAGGTTAGAGGATATGATGAGGTTATAGGATTAATGTGGTTAGAGAATATGATTAGATTACAGGTTTAATGTGGTTATAGGATGTGATGAGGTTACAGGATTAATGTGGTTAGAGAATATGATGAGGTTACAGGATTGATGAGGTTACAGGATATGATGAAGTTACAGGATATGATGAGATTACAGGATTAATGTGGTTAGAGGATATGATGAGGTTAGAGGATATGATGAGGTTACAGGATTGATGAGGTTACAGGATATGATGAGGTTATAGGATATGATGGAGTTAGAGGATATGATGAGATTACAGGATTGATGAGGTTATAGGATATGATGAGGTAATAGGATATGATGAGGTTACAGGATTAATGTGGTTAGAGGATACAATGAGATAATAGGATTAATGTGGTTAGAGGATATGATGAAGTTACAGGATTGATGAGGTTAGAGGATATGATGAGATTACAGGATTAATGTGGTTAGAGGATATGATGATATTACAGGATTGATGAGGTTATAGGATATGATGAGGTTATAGGATATGATGAGGGTACAGGATTAATATGGTTAGAGGATATGATGAGGTTATAGGATATGAGGTTATAGGATTAATGTGGTTAGAGGATATGATGAGATTATAAGGATATGATGAGATTACAGGATTGATGAGGTTAGAGGATATGACGAGGTTATTAGATATGATGAGGTTACAGGATTAATGTGGTTAGAGGATATGATGAGGTTACAGGGTTGATGAGGTTAGAGGATATGATGAGGTTATAGGATATGATGAGGGTACAGGATTAATATGGTTAGAGGATATGATGAGGTTATAGGATATGAGGTTATAGGATTAATGTGGTTAGAGGATATGATGAGATTATAGGATATGATGAGATTACAGGATTGATGAGGTTAGAGGATATGACGAGGTTATTAGATATGATGAGGTTACAGGATTAATGTGGTTAGAGGATATGATGAGGTTACAGGGTTGATGAGGTTAGAGGATATGATGAGGTTAGGGGATATGATGAGGTTACAGGATTGATAAGGTTACAGGATATGATGATGTTATAGGATATGACGAGGTTAGAGGATATGATGAGATTACAGGATTAATGTGGTTAGAGGATATGATGAGATTACAGGATTAATGAGGTTACAGGATTAATGTGGTTACATTATTGATGAGGTTACAGGATTGACGAGGTTACAGGATATGATGAGGTTATAGGATATGATAAGGTTACAGGATTAATGTGGTTAGAGGATAGGATGAGGTTACAGGGTTGATGAGGTTACAGGGTTGATGAGGTTAGAGGATATGATGAGATTATAGGATATGATGGGTGAGAGGATATGATGAGGTTACAGGATTGATGAGGTTAGAGGATATGATGAGGTTAGAGGATATGATGAGGTTACAGGATTAATGAGGTTACAGGATTAATGAGGTTACAGGATATGATGAGATTACAGGATATGATGAGATTACAGGATTAATGTGGATAGAGGATGTGATGAGATTACAGGATTAATGAGGTTACAGGATTGATGAGGTTACAGGATATGAGGTTACAGGATATGATGAGATTACAGGATTGATGGGGTTATAGGATATGATGATGTTACAGGATATGATGGGGTTATAGGATATGATGATGTTATAGTATACTATGAGGTTGCAGACTATGATGACACTACAGCATATGATGAGGTAAAAGGATACATAATGACAGAATTACTGAGGGACTGAGGAGACAAAGTTGCTACATAACAGTGGTTTGGAACTGTTTGGTATCAACAATCTCTACAAGCTGGAAGTGTGTTTATTGATGCTATAAGAGGCTAAAAGATATTTATCTGCAGTCATGGTTATTTTCATTGACATTATCTGTCAAATTTTATATTGCAAAATGTTGAAAACTAATATATATCCTAGACAGTATCTGATGTAAATATAAAGAAAAAACATACTTCATTGGTAAGATCTCTGCATCAAGAGTGGGTGATATGCAAAATTTCCAACCTCACAACAGGTAAGTGAAATGTGTTAATCAAGCCATTGATGATGAATATTACTTTTTATTTGTATGTCCTTCTTACTCCACTATCAGAAAAAATATCGTCCTGATTACAACATTACTGATCCAGGTATTGTGAAATCCTGACATCTGTTAAACTGTCCAGATAAATTAACAAAAAAAAACATGTCAATGTTTATATACCACGCATTGTTGTACAAAACAAATTTGTCAATTGAAAATTGTGTTACTTCTCTATATGTTCTATGTTAGTAAGTACCTGAATAAAGATTGACTGACATATTTTAAATCCTGCTATAGTCACCTATTAAATGCCCTTGGCCCTTACGATGTTTCCAATATGGTGACTCGTTATGCCAAATCAGTTTACTTCATTGTGATTTAAAAGAAATAAAAGCTACAGAGGATAACTTATCCCTTCTTGTTACCTTACAGAAGATATGGATATTTTGGGATTCTTGTATCACTGCAGTGCCCAATATGGTATACTGACGAAGTACAGAAACAAATATTTGAAAAATGAAATGTTTGCCACTTTCAGATGTTAAGATATTTCTTATGAGAAACAGTTGTATTTATCAGACAGCATTTGCTGCGAGCACACCTTATAAATCAACATATTTTGACATTACACATGAATGCAACCAGTGTGGGAGGGTTTAACGTTTATATAATCCTGTTTATCAGATTTACACTATCAGTGCTTAGAGCAACAGAATCCAGTTACGTAAGCAAGCGACAAAACTGAGAAACGAGGTGCGCCATCAAAATGAATGAAAACATGTCCTTAATAAGACTTGGATTTGTTGGGAGTATTGAATAGCTTAAGGCAGATGTCAGGAAACTTAAGGTTTCTTCTGGAACGAGAAGCCTCTTAAGGTTACCAAGGTTAACAGCGTCGGAAATATTTACGAAAGAAAGACTTTTTCTACGTCTTAAGAGAATAAACTCCATTGGTTTTTTTCTTTTTTTATGGAAGGATTATGTTTGCATTGTAGTTAATGATGTCCAGGAATGGCCTATCCTTGGTATCTTGTTTGTCATTCTGTTTGCCTTGGTATGTTCAGATGCAAAATAATATGTATACTTAATAGCCTCAGAGTTTCTTCAGACTTCAGGAGTCTATTAGCTCATCAGACCCCAACTGACAGCTAGCCCTTGTACAAGGCTACATGAGGAATATGTTTAACTATGGGAGTTCAGGTTGTCACACTACAACCATGGCTTTGTGCAAGGGAAGCTGTCAGATAAAATAGCCATGAAGATATGGGTTAGAATTGGCCTTCGGGCCGGTGAGGTAGCCTCATAGTTAAAGCGTTGGCTCGTCACGCCGAAGACCCGGGTTCGAATCCCCACATGGGCACAATGTGTGAAGCCCATTTCTGGTGTCCCCCCGCCGTGATGTTGCTGGAATATTGCTAAAAGCGGCGTAAAACCTAACTCAGTCAGTCAGTAGAATTGGCCTTCAGTAACCCATGCTTGTCGTAAGAGGCGACTAACAGGACTGGGTAGTCAGGCTCGCTGACTTGGTTGACATATGTCACCGTATCCCAATTGCATAGGTCGATTCTCATGCTGTGCATAGGTCAATGCTCACTCACTGGGTGATAAAACAATAGCTTTACAAAAACCTCATAAAGAAAAATATGTAAAAAGTGGAAGTAAAACCTTGCTTCAAGAAACATATGTTTGACTGAAATACTGAGGATGTAACATTACACATATAATGGCCTGCTATTTTGTAAAACAGGGGCCAAGTTATGAAAGCAGAATCAGTGATGGATTATTGTAGGTTCTGACATATGTAACCTTTAGCTCTATAGATGCCAAGGAGGACATTTGGTGACCAAAATGGATACCATACAGACAGCTGTATAATTATTATAGTTTAAATGCATTTTACATAAGGATGAATAGATCTGTTCAAAATTTATCATGCATATGATGTTTATTATTGGGGGACTACTCAGACACCAGTCGATATGGGTGACCTTGGCCTTATTTTCAAGGTCACCATGACACTTTGACCATATTTCAAACTCTTGTTAACACAATATCTCATGCACTTATGTACCCATTATCTTCAAAATTTGGTGACAGCCTACATTGGGGGATTACGCAGACACCAGTTGATTTGGGTGACCTTGACCTTATCTTCAAGGTCACCATGACACTTTGACCACTTTTCAAACTTATGTAAACACAATATCTCATAGAATGTTGCACCCAATTTTAGCCTCTGAGCTGAAGAATATATTGCTATTTCTTACAAATTTGATGTCAGGACTTAACATAACAGGTATCAGGGTAGGGTCGGGTAATAGGGGTGGGGTACCTGGGTAGAAACTTTGGACCTGTTCCAGCCCAAATACACACTGATACTGAAGTTAAAATATGCACCTGCATCTATACATTCAAATCTACTATATTCCTGAAATATCTTCAGAGTTGACCAAGTGACCATGACTAGAAACTACATCACACAAAAGTTAATCTTCTATGTGACCAAAAGATGAAAGCTAGTAAATATGTTATATTTCATTCTTATTTAGCGGCAGGGGACATTGCCATGTTAGTGGCAAACACTTGTGTTGGTGACTTTCAACTTTAGGTGGTTCAGCGTATGTATGGGACATAACATTTTGATTGAGATTTCGAAGGTCAAGCTAATACCTCATCTTATCTACGATGTTGGCTTATCTGTGGTCATACAGTAGTTTGATCAATAGAATTCAAAGGTTAAGATGTTGGGCTTGTGTGAAACTTATTGCTTTCTAATATGGTTGGAGCATTTCTAGAATGGAGATACCATAACTTGTGGATAATTGACTGGATTATTTGCAGAAGTAATTTGGTGTTTGTCTAGAGTATGAAATACCAATCATCTTTAGGAGACACTTATCTTGTTATTATCTTTCGATGAAATTATGTCAAATACTTTCTGCAATGTCACTAGTTGGAGGGCACATTTGTATCCTTTATTTGTCCAGGGATAGGACTACACATTCTGCTTGATATATGTATCTGTAAAACTACTGATAGTCTTCATATGTTATTATATTCATAATTTTATATTTTTATCATTAATTTGTAAACATAAAACTGTCTTTTGAAATATAAAATCATTAAGCAGATTAGAAATTCATAATGCAATTCTTCCATCTCTTAATGAATTGCATTTACACAAACAAAATATATGGAGCACTGCAAAGAAGTATTGTCAGTATCTGTGTGTAAAGTCACAGCACACGAAGCATTGTCGGTATCTGTGTGTAAAGTCACAGCACACGAAGCATTGTCAGTATCTCTGTGTAAAGTCACAGCACACGAAGCATTGTCAGTATCTGTGTGTAAAGTCACAGCACACGAAGCATTGTCAGTATCTCTGTGTAAAGTCACAGAACCGAAGCATTGTCAGTATCTCTGTGTAAAGTCACAGCACACGAAGCATTGTCAATATCTGTGTGTAAAGTCACAGCACACAAAGCATTGTCAGTATCTGTGTGTAAAGTCACAGCACACGAAGCATTGTCAATATCTGTGTGTAAAGTCACAGCACACAAAGCATTGTCAGTATCTGTGTGTAAAATCACAGCACACAAAGCATTGTCAATATCTGTGTGTAAAGTCACTGCACACAAAGCATTGTCAATATCTGTGTGTAAAGTCAATGCACACAAAGCATTGTCAGTATCTGTGTGTAAAGTCACAGCACCCGAAGCATTGTCAGTATATGTGTGTAAAGTAACAGCACACGAAGCATTGACAGTATCTGTGTGTAAAGTCACAGCACACAAAGCATTGTCAGTATCTGTGTGTAAAGTCACAGCACACGAAGCATTGTCAGTATCTGTGTGTAAAGTCACAGCACACGATGCATTGTCAGTATTGTGTGTAAAGTCACAGCACATGAATTATTGTCAGTAAGTGTGTGTAAAGTCACAGCACATGAAGCATTGTCAGTATCTGTGTGTAAAGTCACTGCACATGGAGCATTGTCAGTATCTGTGTGCAAAGTCACTGAACAAGAGGCATTGTCAGTATCTGTGTGTAAAGTCCCATCTCTCTTAAAGCTACTGAACAGCTCATGAATATATCTTTTCATAACAATTTATAACACAAAGAGAAAGTATGATTTAGAAATTTTACATATAACACATCGCTTTGATTATGTTAAAAGTAGACAGGTTTCTATGGCAATTTGAGTTTGCAATGGACAAAAGTACAGAGAAATGTGTGTTGGAAAGACCTGGAAAGGTCGTCAGTGTATTGGCACAATCAAACTTGTCGGTTCTCGCCAAATCTAAATATCCAACTTGTTTGGACATGCCCTCAAAAAAAAGTATAACATTTGAATGAGAGAATTCTAAAGACAAATATTGGATGAGAAAATTCGAAAAATAAATATTGCTATATGCCGAAGGTTATTGTTGCCAGAGAAGACAATTTTAAAAAAGTGATTTCAGATAAAAAAGCAGATTTCAATTTCATATCTAATGATCCGTTCAATACTTTTAATTGAATACAATTTTCAGTCTTAATGTTTGTGTCAACTCTTCAAATCAAACCCCCCTCACCCCAAAAGAAAAGGATGATTGATGCTCTTTAACAGGTATAAAGCGGGAAGCTGCTGGCCTGTTATGTACCAATTCATTATCTGTCTGTGCGTAATCTTGATTTAATGTTTTAATACACAATATGGTCAAGCATGTTCTTATGGAATCGATGTCATCAGTGTTAGCTGTTATCTGGTGACAGTTTACATTCCCTGTTGAAAATACTATGCCAATTGTCGATTTATTATCCTCATCAAAGCAGTCCCTTGAAACAACAAGTCAGTTTTGTGAATGCTTTGTCAATACGATTACACATGATAAATATGTTATGCTACCCTTTTTCATTACTGAGATTGAGCAGGTGATAGCATGATTGCTATTGATTAGGATTGTCAGCTGTGTTAATGTCTCCAAAGGATCAAACAGATATCCAACAACTGAAAAACCAATCATGTTAAAATCATGTAGCATGGTTTTGTCATAACTTGGGTGGAATGGCCTTTACTTCATATTTCCAAATAGACCATTCCAAGAGTGCTGGATGATATATATGTTTGTGACATGAAAGGAAAAACGTCCGGAAATTAGGAACATTGCCATGGTATTACTTTAACATGTGTCCATTTGATGAAGCCTTTGACTTGCATCAAATAGCCTTTGTCATCTATAGTAGACTTTATTTCTAGTTATATTTCTAGAAATGTCCTTTTGTTTTATGTGGGGCCAAATCTTCAAAAACATGACAGGATACAAGAAAATGCTTTCATTACGTAAATGATAAAACAGAGTGGAGTGACTTGATGAGTTTTGTTTTACAACACAGGAAGTGAGGAAACATTCCCTGCTGTGAAATGTTAGGCAATGGAGATTTGACCTCCCTGTTGACGGAAACATTCCAACCACCAACATCCGAGTTTTCAAGGTATTATTATCCTGAAATATTAGTGCTATTTCCATCCACAGGAAAAACTCATTCTAAAGAAGCACAGGTGTTTGGGTTCAATTATACCCTTGTATTAGGCCAGTAGGACCCTTGTTACAGGCAAATAAAGCCCTTGTATCAGACATTACGACCCTTGAATTATGGCAACAGGAACCTTGGATCAGGCCAAAAAGACCCTTGGATCACACCAGTAACATCCTTATATCAGGGCAGTTGAAACCTTGTATTAGGGCTGGAGGACCCTTGTATCAGGGCAGTAGGATCCTTGTATCAGGGCTGGAGGACCCTTGTATCAGGGTTGAAGTAGATAGCTGTAACTCACAATTATAATCAGCAACACGTCTTCCCCACCAAGTTCTGACTCACAGCTTTAACTTCGAAACTTTGTCCCAACCAAGTATTAACCAACAGCCGTAAGCTTCAACACTTCGTCCCACCAAGTATTAACCAACAGCCGTAAGCTTCAACACTTCTTCCCACCAAGTATGAACCAATACCTGTAACCTTCAACACGTCTTCCCACCAAGTATTAACCAACAGCCATAACCTTAAACACTTCATCCCACCAAGTATTAACCAACACCCATAAGCTCCAACACTTCTTCCCACCAAGTATTAACCAATACCTGTAACCTTCAACACGTCTTCCCACCAAGTATTAACCAACAGCCATAACCTTCAACACTTCCCACCAAGTAATAACCAACAGCCATAAGCTCCAACACTTCTTCCCACCAAGTATTAACCAACACCTGTAACCTTCAACACTTCTTCCCACCAAGTATTAACCAACAGCCATAACCTTCAACACGTTGTCCCACCAAGTATTACCCAACAGCCGTAAGCTTCAACACTTTTTCCCACCAAGTATTAACCAACAGCCGTAACCTTCAACACTTCTTCCCACCAAGTATTAACCTAAGCTCCAACACTTCTTCCCACCAAGTATTAAGCAACAGCCCTAAGCTTCAACACTTTGTCCCACCAATTGCAAGTATTAAGCAACAGCCGTAAGCTTCAACACTTCGTCCCACCAAGTATTAACCAACAGTCGTAAGCTTCAACATTTCTTCCACCAAGTATTAACCAACAGCCGTAAGCTTCAATTCTTTGTCCCACCAAGTATTAACCAACACCTGTAACCTTCAACACTATTTCCCATCAAGTATTAACCAACAGCCGTAAGCTTCAACACTTCTTCTCACCAAGTATTAACCAACAGCCGTGAGCTTCAACACTTCTTCCCACCAAGTATTGACCAACACCTGTAACCTTCAACACTTCTTCCCACCAAGTATTAACCAACAGCCGTAAGCTTCAACACCTCGTCCCACCAAGTATTAACCAACAGCCGTAAGCTTCAACACTTCGTCCCACCAAGTATGTTCCAACAGCCGTAAGCTTCAATACTTCTTCCCATCAAGTATGAACGAACACCTGTAACCTTTAACAATTCTTCCCACCAAGTATTAACCAACAGCCGTAAGCTCCAACTACTTATTCCCACCAAGTATTAACCAACAGCCATAAGTTTCAACACTTCGTCTGACCAAGTATTAACCCTCAGCCGTAAGCTTCAACACTTCTTCCCACCAAATATTAACCAACACCTGTAAGCTTCAACACTTCGTCCCACCAAGTATTAACCTAAGCTCCAACACTTCTTCCCACCAAGTATTAACCAACACCTGTAACCTTCAACACTTCTTTCCACCAAGTATTAACCAACAGCCATAACCTTCAACACTTCGTCCCACCAAGTATTAACCAACAGACGTAAGCTCCAACACTTCGTCCCACCAAGTATTAACCAACAGCCGTAAGCTTCAATACTTAGTCCCACCAAGTATTAACCAACAGCCATTACCT